ATGCGCGTTTTTACCAGATCAGCAGGATGGACAACACTCGCTGCCATCATGCTTACATGATACAATTAAAATCGATTACTTAGGTTTAAGTAGTTATAGAGAGGACACTACGAACCCGTTCATTCAAATATTTTATGCATGTTTACTATCATTAAAGAATCAAAGAAGAAATACAAATAGGAAGCATCTTGATCAATGTATACTTAGAAGAAATTTGAATATCTACATGGTTTGAAAAAAGTATGTAAAAGGGGATATGTCAGAAACAAGCATCGTCAGGGGAGGGTGGATGTCCGTATAAACTCTATAAATGTAAATATATAAAGAGCACTTTGAATAAGACCAACATCCTAGACCTAGTCTTAAGTATCGTCTAGCATTTGTAAGAAGGGAGTAAATTCAGCGTCGTCGCTGGCTCGTTGGTAAGCACTTGACTTGTAATCTATAGGTCTTGGGTTCAAATCTCGCCGTGTACCAAGGTGATTTTCGATTTTTCAAATTTTCATATGTACATAATTTAGCCGACGTTCTTACGAAGAAAAAAAACATCGTGATGCATGCAAATATCGGCGAAGAAATACAAAGATATGTGTGAAGTCAACCTACCCGCATTGGGCCAGCGTGGGTGACTATGGCCTAGTCTTTCCTTTACTTAGAGTAGGCTCCGTGCCCCTCGGTGGGGACTTATCACTATACGTCCCCACCGAGGGGCACGGTCAGCTCACTAGCTGGTGATGATGATGAGTAAATACAGAATGAACTTTGAAAATCACCAAACTACCAACCTATAGTAGGATAAAGGATGACTCACCCACTCAATCCTCCCAAGATGAAGTTAGCCCACCGCGGTATCTGTGGTTCTGCCATTTTATTGTTATAGAATATAACTTGCGACGATCACATACTTAATGCTTTGGCGGTGTGTTTACAATTTTACAAAACCATTGCTGGTTGCGAACTGAGAATACTATACACAGCTGGACATTTTGTAAATGTAAAAGTTGACATTGAAGTGCTAGTTGACATATGTTTTGTTTTTAACTTTACGCTTATTCATTTATTATCTGCGATCTCATGAAATATTCATTAATTTTTCAATGTAAACACTGAAGGTACATACTACTTTTGTTTGCGACTATGTCCGCGTGGAATTACAATAAAAAAGTAAGTAGCCTATGTGTTCTTCAAGACTATGCTCTACATCTATGCCAAATTTCTTCGAGGTCCGTTTAGCATGTTAGACTCTAACGATTATGCGTCCATCTTTTGCATTTGTAATAGTACTAGCTTTCGCCCGAGACTCCGTCCGCGTGGAATTAATAAAAACAAAAGCGAATAGCTTATATGTTCTTCCAGGCTACCCTCTGGCTCTATACCTAATTTTACTGAAATCCTTCAAGCCGTTTAGGCTCCAAACTCTAACAAACATCCATCCATCTATCCATCTAAACTTTAGCTTTTATAATATTAGATATAATATGATAAGAAGATAAGACTAACTTAAAAGCATTACTAGTGGTCTATCCCCGAGAAGACCTTTATTTCTTAAATGCTTAAAACAATATAGCCTATGTTACTCAGTAATAGTTTTCTAAAGATGGGCTGTGCTATTAATGAAAAGGTAAGTTTTATGTGTCTTTTAAAATAACCTGCTGCCTTCTGATCCATGTAGATCTATACCTTAATTTGACAAACAAATTTGAAGTTTATGTATATTTCGATAAGGCATTTTTCAACGATGGTAATTTTAAAGATGGCGGCCTTTGTTGCTTTAATTTCTTAGTACAAAAAAACTACAGAAAAACTGCAACATTCAAAGACGTCAACTTTATTTTTATTATTATCGTATTTATTAATTTCTAGTTTGCTTTTGTGCATTTACAAATCTCAACTAAACTGGAACTTACACTATCTTCATTGTAATTACAGCATTCTTGTAGTTTTTGACAATATGGGCATTAGACCCACAAAATGCCGCCTTTTGTCACATTTTCTTTTTTTACTAGCTTTAATGTTGATGTATGTAAGATTTCATTTCTAGCTTGTTTTTGTGGCACTAAAAGTTCTATTTATTTATTTAAAAAATACACACTATAGTATGTCTAAATAATGATGATTAGTTTGACAATTTAATAGTGATGGGTTTTAAATCAGGTCAGAATCCTCGATTTCACATTTTTACATTTATAGTAGTAAAAACTGTTTTTTCATTCGTTTGTGCAAACTCAAATCAATAATTAGAAAAACAGACAGACACAAAGAATGAAAGTAATAGATATTTATTACTATTTATTTAACACGGTCGTGCATAATTTTAGTGGATTTCGTTAACATTATTGTCATCGAAATTCACTACTGAAACTGCCTCATATTTGAATTATAAAATACTTATTTATTAAACCGAGTATCGATAGTCCATAGTTGTTCGCTATGCGTTAATGGTCGTCACTATGATACTCGTCTTTTGAGTACGTATACCTTCATATAAATTTATATGCGTGATCCATCAAACTAATCAACGTTAATTAGACAAACTATACATTACTGCTTTTTCCCTTTGCTAGGAGGTGGCGGGGGTCGATTAAATTTCGTGTAAAGTCCAACGAGCTGCTCGAGGAATAAGAAAAGGAGTATAGTCTGCGGTCCCAACTTCGTGTACGTCGGCACGAACCCCGACCACAACTTGAGAGGACCTTCGTTCTTGATGATTTGGAAAAGTTCTTTTACCTGACTTGTGGGCTCTGATGCGTTTTGTACCCTGGAATAATCATTTGAAATTAATGACCCCGGGAACATACGACCTGCAAGCCTTCCCCGTTGAGTCTAAGTTTCTTCCCTTTGATAATGGGCTTCCCCAAAATTGACTAGCGACGCTCATGCCTACGCGGATGTATTTGATATCTTTTTCTAGTGCCTTTCCACTATTGGAAGTCGGCTTTCATTAGCGAATAGATCTTGTCTTTACAAACAGGTCTTCGATGCTAGCAATACTAGTCTAATGCATGGTATTACTAGCAGCATATTGTCACTTGACTTACGGTCGTACCTGGTCTTGACGATGTCAACGGGCAGATAGACGAAAGTGGTGATTAAGCCTGAGACCATGGCAGACGCGAAGTGCAGTCCGATACCTTCGCCCATCATCGGCAGTAGCATCTCACGGGCCTATTGCGTACAGTGCAGTTAGTGCCGTAAAACACGTTACAATTTTCATCACCAGGTAAAAGATAGTATGTGACAAAATTACAGTTATGGATATAAAGTTCTGTTTTGTCGATAAGGTTAAAATTTTTGTCTACATAAAGGCATGGTATGAATAATGTGAGGGTAGATATGTTGGTTATATTCTTCCTTTGGGACATTACCTAAACGACATCAAGGATCTCAATGAGCTACTGGTTGTTGTGTAAGTGTGGGACAAAGGTACTTACCTGTGCGTACCCGCCGAGCTGCGCGGCGTTGACGATGGCTGACCGGGTGACGGTGGATTCGACCCCTCGGAAGAGCGCCATCAGACCCTCCTCGCGCACAATCCTGAACAGGGCACATGGTTACTGGTCTGCCTTACGAGCCACGTGTAAAACTCTCTGGGTATCATATCACATCAAACCTGAAGAGAGCATCGATGACGTTCTTGTAATTCCTTCTCTTCTCCGGCGGCATTTGGCCGTCGGCCGTCATCCGGATGAGAGCGATCTCCGCCGGGTTGCCTATTACGGCGCCCACGCTGCCCGCCATCGATGCCAGCCCCAGTTTGGCAACGAAGTTCGGGGTGCCATACTGACTGCAACATGTTGCTTAATTAAACAGACCATCATACACACATCTCCCACTTGGCCAATGCAATTACCTTCTTAATGAGAAAAGGCTGGACTACTGCCAGTACTTTGACCTCTGGCATACGATTTGACACCTGTCATGACACTAATCTTGTTTTACAAATATCTATATTCTCGTTTTTTTTGTATCTATAATTTCGCCGTCAATACATGACAACGCTTACCCTTTATATAAGTCTAGAAGGGAATAGAAGCAGCCCATCCTGCCGGCGGTGTAGGTGGCCTGCCGAACGAGCGAGGCGGACAGGCCGCTGTAGAAGCCGATGAAGCCCTCCTTCTTCACGATCCTTTTCACCACAGTCGCCGTAGACAGCTTCACCCTGGGCCCCAGCAGTTGCATGCGCGTTTTTACCAGGTCAGCGGGATGTACAACGCTCGCGGCCATCATGCTAACATAACACAAAAATCAATTATTCTCCTCGAGGTCGATACTATCAATGTCATCACATCACAGCTCACTATACGTCCCCACTAAGCGGCTCGGAGCGTACCCTAAGTTAGGGTGCCTAAGCCAAAGTAAACCACGCTGCACTGCGGGTTGGTTGACTTCACACATATCTTTGAATTTCTTCGCCGATATGTGAAGGTTTATACGATTTCCTTCACCGTAAGAACGTCGGATAAATTATGTACATATGAAATACAAAACTGTTAGTAAAATATTAATAAAATCAGAATTCGATATTGACTCGATGATTCGACAATCATGTATTAAAACAACATTGCTGTTCATTGTCATTTGCAATAAATAACAGAGGGAACAATAATGTAACACGAATAATTTCAGCACCATCCATTATGTGGTTTTAGAGTAGTTTTCACTTACATGAACCAAAGTGATTCAAGTAGTAATATGTAATTATAGAGCGGACATTACGAACACTTTCATCTAAACATTTTAAGCAATATCATCATCATTAAATAATCCAACAAGAAATATAAATATACAATCATCTTGGATGAAAAACTGAGAAGAAATATAAATGGCTACTACATTTACATTATCCATTTTAAGAAATATAACGCTTTTAGATCTGAGAAAGTATGAAAAAGAGGATATGTCAGAAGCATGCGTCGCCAGGAGATGCCTCAGGCTAGCTTTCTATATATATAAAACTTAAGTTCTTATATATAAAAACTTGTAAGAATAAGCCCATTACCTTAGACCTAGCCTAGATCATGGTCTAATCAGTATAGTCTAAATGGGAAGGGAGTGATTACAGATTGAACATTGAAAATTGCCAAACTGCCAACCCACTGTAGGATAAAGGATGTATAACAATGACTTACCCACTCAATCCTCCCAAGATGAAGTTAGCCCACCGCGGTATCTGTGGTTCTGCCATTTTATTGTTATAGAATAAAACTTGCGACGATCACATACTTTATGCTTTTGCGGTGTGTTTACAATTTTACGAAACCATTGCTGGATGCGAACTGAGAATACTATACACAGCTGGACATTTTGTAACTGTAAAAGTTGACATTGAAGTGCTCGTTGACATATGTTTTGTTTTTAACTTTACGCATATTTATTTATTCTCTAAGATGTCATGAAATATTCATTAACTTTGCAATGTAAATACTTTGAAGGAGACATATACTATAAATCGCGGCGACGTTGTCCGCGTGGAATTAAAAAAAAACACACAAAAATAAGTAGCTCATGTACTTATTATATCAGACTATGCTCTACCTCTAAACCAAATTTCATCGATATCCGTTATGCAGTTTAGGCAAACTCTAACATACATCCGTCCATCTAAACTTTCGCATTTTGATATCAGTAAGATATGATTAACATATATCATTACTAGTGGTCTGTTCCCACTTTGCATGAGAAGACATTTTTTTTTTATGTTTATAGCTAATAATGTAATAATGTAGGTCGAAGAAGAACGTGGCTCAAAAACCTACGCCACTGGTATGGAAAGAGCACCCGTTCACTTTTTAGAGCCGCGGTGTCAAGAGTCAAGAACGAAAGTCGCCCTAATGATCGCCGAAATTCGAAAGAAGAAGGCACTTTAAAAAGAATAATGTGGCTTTCTAAACATGAAAGAATTCTTTAAATTGGTTCAGTTGTTTCTGAGTTTATTCGTTACATAAATACAAATCCTTACATTTTTTCTTTAACATAAGGTTATAGTTAACATATATTTAACCGATAATAGTAACTGGTACATAAAATTACAAATTTGTATGAGATAATAAAATGTTTTGGTATACGATTACCTGTAAGATTAACGAGAATTAATGTATGTAAATGTATGGATATTGAAGTAGCGAGTTGTGTTCGATCTCGCGGAACAAGAATCTGTCGTATACAGATCAAATTTCAGATTGCTAGAGTGTGTAAATCGTTATTCTAAACGTATCTGTCTACCTCTCTAGTACAAAGGTTTGAGTGTTATGTTATACTGGTATTTATAATTAGTCAGGTATGTAAAATCAAAGACATTATTATTAAAAATTAATTTTATTTTTTATTTAAAACAATAAATATTTATACTGTTTAGATGAAATATCGTAATCACCACTCCCATACTTCGGTGAAGTCTTGTTCCAGTGGAAAATGTCGCCTGAAATAAATCAATGAAATATATTATATGTAGGACCAACTTTAGTCCCTTTTTTCCATCCTTTTTCTCTCATTAGTATAGGATTGAAAAGGAACGTTGATTTGACGGTGGAGGAGACNNCTCCTTCGTCGATTAAGGTTAGGTAGCATCCGCTATTGAGAATGTCTACGAACAGCGGTCGCTTCCCATTTTTGGTGGATTTTGCCACCGCGTTTGCTACCTTATGATATAAAAAAAATGTAATATGTCTATTTCTAGACTTCTAGAGATTGATTGGTTAGATGACTCTTCTATCTATTACTTCTGCTTGTTTTTAAATATTGGATTAATTACTAAAAGTATATATTAATATTTAGTTTTATATATTATGATAGTTGTAGTTATTTTATTCTGTT